TGACTGGGGTTGGTGAAACCAATGCGTGCTAGTGTGCTATGCTTAACACATACAGTACTGTAAATTGAATGGTTGGGAGAAGAGGAAACACTCTAGCTACTTACATGTGTGTGTATTTAATAGTATCAATGGATGAGCCAGAGCCCCATGGGAATCACATTTAAAATCACAAAAAATGCCCAATCCCACTTGCAACAGTAAAATAGGACATTGCCAAAACTGGTTCTGAGCTTTATTCCTCATTTTCCAGAGCAAGTCCTACATCTACAGTTTCACAACATTCTATAACTCTGTGGTATCTATGGTGGTGGGAATAAAGCTTATAAAAAGTAACATACATCTTTCTTCTCCAACCCAATGAAATTATTTCCTTGGAGGGGGGCGGGGGGCGTCACACAAATCCACTATCTTTTAGGAGATCGCAGCGCTACATACTTTGAAAACCACTGGGTAACTGATACGGTTACCGAGGAATCCCTGTCGTATCTTTTGCTCTGTTTTTAGAAAGCAGCACATCTTCCCCTTCTTCATCCTATCAAAAAGTATCATTTTCCTGCTCGAGTATATTCTCCATCGCCCCGGAGGGAGAAGCTGCGCCAAGCAGCACATGTAACGAAGTCCATGCCATCTCGCTCCTATCGGCCAGCACCAGACCCGGACCCAAGGTCTCTCCTTACCGGCTGAGCAGGAGTGTTGCCACACTGAACCCCAAAAGGATACAGCAAAACAAAGGGTACTGGCGGCAGGTCTCGCGCAGAACGTCCACCCGGGGCGCGCGCTGGCACAGCCTCTCCACGGCCGCGCGTGCCCACCTCATCCTGGAGGATGGGGGGAGACTGCGCCCCCGGCTTCAGCTTGACCCGACGATCCCCAGGCGCTCCGTAGCACACTTGAAGGGACCGAAAGCCCCTGCCTTCCGGTTTCCACCACTCGATCCCTTCGCATCACGTGCAGAGGGCTAGACCAATAGGGTGGCTTCTCCAAGGCGGAAGATAATCCTCGCCGGCCCCCGGAGCCGTTCTCGCTTACTTTCCCACCCGGGCTCCCTTAGTTAGTACCAATACACCGCTGCTTGAAAGGAGCGGAGTTCGGTCTTTTCTTTTCACTTCATCTCGCGATCTCTCGAATTGCAAAAGCTATCGATTGAACAAGAAGGGGCAGAACGGAGAATGAGGCACTTCCGCCCTTACCGTGACTCTTTTGGTTGCCCTTTAGCCTGGAGGAAATAAAGCCCATTAAAATGGCGGCGTTAGTTGTTGCCCTGATGCCCGAAGCGCCGAATCGCTCGCATTCTGTTGGATTGGAAGCCTTGAAACTGTGTAAACGCGAAAGCCTCCCCCATCCCCTTTAAAACTCACTTTTCTTCCCTCGAGATGCCTGGGCTTGATTGCAGCGTATCCTGCCCACAAATTCATAGCGTAGATGGTGGTTTTTCAGCGGTGGTAGTAAACTTGGGGACCAGATGTCGTTGAATATCAATTCCAATTTTCGTTCGTTTGCAGCTGGTACGGCAAATATTGAGGGACGCTGTGAGTTATGCTACTTCAGCAATCCCTGGAGTATACAATTCCAGTTCGCTTCCGATGCAAAACCAGTTGGACACCAGCGATAAATTGCATGCACCTGCTCCCCTAATGCGATATACTCCTGTGCGGCTCCATAATTAGCAGGTTATAGAGGACGTGTTCTTGATAAAGTGCTTGTGTGAGTTTGCTAACCAATTCACATTTTCTTTCATTTTACTGCTAAATCGCTGTTCTAGATTAAAGTTGGCTACACGCTTGGATAAACTCTGCTGAAAATGAGTTTGTTACAATCTGGCAAGCCTTCTGGCTATAATGGGAAACAGCTGCTGTGTTTTAAGGCAGTTTAATCATGCACACCCGGGGACTCTTCCCCCCAATGATATATATTATACACCAAAAACCTCTCAGCTGACCTAACTAGAAATGAATAATATAATCTGAGCACAAGTCCCTATCTATATCTTTAAAATCATAAAGAATTGGGGTTTAAAATATTTAAAGGAATACATTTTAAAAATATTTTCTTGGCCCAGGTGGAATTTCTGGGGCATTTCTGTCATGCCTCATAATCCAATGAAATTAGATGCATGATAACAAGAAACACAGCCTTCTCTGTGGGGAACTCCATTGATGGAGTCTTTAGAGCTGAAAGTATAACTCTCCTTTAATATATTAAAATATATTTGAAACTTTTTGAGTGTTGTATTTTAAAGTTTAAGTAACTGCGTTATATTGAAAGATGGTTCTGTCATATTTATGCTGGGATTTATTCCTTTAATAATGTTGTCATCCATGATTACTATTATTGTGCAAGTCAAAATTAATATAAAATTTACTTGCAGGAAAAATAGCTTCTTCCATTTTGATAAATCTAATTTGGCTTGCTATGTATGCAGTGCGACCTGGATCATTAAGTATAAGTTAAAAAAAATCTTTTCAAGCTTCCATTTTGTAGCATGAACAAAAGCATAGTACTCATTCTCATGTCATATTCCCACAATCTAACTTATGTTGGGATGTTTAAAACCAAAACTAATTTAAAGTACTGTAGTTTCCTTATCTTTAGACATTTTTTTCAGAAAATTCAATAGGTCATTTTAATAAAGCATACACATTTTGTACTTTAGCTTACAATAAAATAAGTCAATATCCAACAAAAATTAAAAGTAGTTTCAGAATTAAACTACTAAGTATAAATGCAAACTGTACAAAATGGGCACTCCCAAATAGCAAATATGTTTCATTTGAATAGTCTTTAAAAAAAACCTAATGAAAGTCTGGTTATTCATGACACAACCATCCAAATGTCTGTACATTTAATTTTCTGATGTACAGTGTCCCAGCCTGTAATCCCACTACAAACATGTGCTTTGGTACTGGCATATAGAATTCATGGTTCCATTTAGAATACAGTGGATTATTAAAGCAGTTATATTCTGCATTCAAGATAGAGTCCTCGTATATTAATATTTTGTGAATGGTTTTTCTATTCCTAGGCTAATCTATATAGATCACATTTAGAAACTGCCCATCTCCTTTATAGAACATTTCTGGGTGCTGTATATGTAAGCATAAAACCACTATATATATAATAAGCATGTTTTACACATCTCCACAGATATGTGCTCCTCTATGGGCAGTACAGCCAGGCCTGCAAACCTTTCCAAAAGGCCAGGAAAGGGAGTTCGCCTCGCTTATTTTTTTTATTTTATTTTTTGGGGGAGGGGCATTTAAAGAGCAACTTGCATTATTTTACCCCAATCTCTGTATCTGTGAGTTCATGGACATTTTCAAATTGAATGTGAGTTAGTGTGCTAGGTCCTAGGATGAATAATGTCAAATTTTCCTTCTTCCCATCTTTTGTCTGCAGATGGGATAAAATGGAGGAATTCCTTCTATTTAAGAATGTTATCTCATCTGTTTTAACTCATACATGCCGAAATGTTATTACCTACTTACCTGCATTTTTGTGCACTTCAGAATAGCAGACAATCATATTAACATATCCCTATTCTAGAAGGGTATGTGAGTAATTAGGATTAAATGTGTATGACATTAATCGTTTAATATTAACTTTATGTTTCTAAGTGTTTCAACACATGTACTATTCCTAGAATTCCAAGTCTTTTTTGGGGGGAAAGCAGTATACACTTCATATAACATCTTGAAGTTTTGTTCTAGAAAGTATTAACATGTAATTTTTTCACTGGAATACTGTGGCACAACATAACCATAGTATATACAATGTCACAGGTTTCTTTTGTAGCAATTAAATCCAACAAAACTCACTGCTTGATTAAGTGTAGCATCCAGTTAGTCATTCAGATTTAACTTATAAGCAAATACTGATTCTAATCTCAAAAGTAAATTGTACAATCTTAAGCAATTTACAACTATTTCATTTTTAAGAAATATCCATTTTTTGAATCATCATTTGAGTTTAATTTCCAATGTGTGATTTTTTCACCTTTTACTGTAATAAAGTATGCGTAACATCATCCCTTCTATTTACTTCATGGAATGCAATTGTTTACCAAGGACTATCAAAAAATATATGCATACTTTTTTACAGTTTTCTTTAAAAACCATCTTGTATAACAAAGAGAATTTCAGGATACCTTTATGTAACTGACACTTCTCAGTTAACGATTTGTCAGAATATTCTATAGACTGTCTTGAATTGTGTTTAATTTTTGATGACCATGTCAATACATAGCTATTCAAATAGTTGCAACTGCTTTCTTTCAGGATTTTTTTTAAAGCTCCCCTGTCTAGTTTATAAATCCTGCAATTTCCAGATTTTTTTTTCCCATTTCAGCCCAGCTCAAGTTAAATACTACCTGTGATATAGTACTTGTTAAGAGTATAAACAATCACATTTAGTTTACTCACCACTTCTTATATTCACTAATGTTTGCAAATATTGCTGCTTATCAAGTTCACTTTAGTTCAGTATACACTATGTAATACAGACTGTAAAGTCTAGAATAATTGCTTTAAACATGGTTCCAAGAAATACTATTTTTCATTAAAATAGACTAGTTCCAATCCTTAGTCTTCTATAAGCTGCAACAGTAACTTGCATAAGCTACTCAATTCTGGAACACAAATGCCTTCATTAATATATAAGCTAACACAAATTATATACTTCCAACGTTCCTGCTGTAATACAATAGTAAACCTCTGTCTTAATATGACAACAGGATGTGTAATATTTTGTAAGCATCATATCCTGATAACTTCAATAAATGTTGATGTGATCTACAACATTGACATCCATCAAGATCAATTCAGTGTTATCTAAAGTCATATATATCCATTAGTGAAATCTCATTTCCTTTACATATTCAACTTTAAAATTTTCAAAATTAACATTTTCTCTTAAAAGATCAATTTTTCCACAATACAAGTTTCCACATGCATTTTACTGTAGCTGTATCATTATACTGTTAAAAAAAACTGCACCAATGTCAGAACAGTGCAAATAATGTTTAATTGTAAAAGTCAGAATGGCTTGAATTCATAATTATTCGAGAACACTGTCAAGATTCTGTTACTTATTACTCACCATTGCTTACAAACTCTACAGATAAGTAAATTCCAGTCCATTTTGACATATATCCTATAGCCCACCTTCTCTTACGGACATGTGATTACAATTTCAGCTTCCATATTATTGTAAATTTTCATCAGCATCAATATTTGTTCTGAATGAATAATCATTTACTCCCCCTCCCCCCACCCCCCCCAAAAAATCAGTCATGCTTGAAAACTTTTAAGAAGTTTGTTTTTCAGCAATGGGAGGGATTTGGAAGATCCAAGTTAGGATTGTTTTCCATTTTTCTAAAATTCCTATAAAAAATTAGGTCAGATTTGGCATGAACACCTTGACAGTGCTCTTCATTGAACCATGACAGTAAAGATGCCAGTTGGCACTACAACCTCATTGAAGGGAGCATTTCAACCTCCTTGGCACTAGGATTGCCAATACCAAGGATTACAATGAAATCAAAATTTAAGGCTATATTTAGCAAACCTAAATTCCATAAACCTCATCCTATCAAGTTTAAGATTTTAGAAGCTGATGCAACACTCATATTTCTTATTCAAATATAGAAAGTAGAACTTTACCATGGGCAGCATAGCATATGAAACTGTGGCAATAGGTGTTTCATTAAGCAATGACTTTTTACCATCAGCCACTTAGCTTTTCTCTTAACTAGCAAGGCACATTTACATATTCCCATGAATACTTGACAAATTTTAAATTACACTTTATGTCCCAGCTATCCCAGTAATTGACATACAATATACTAAAATGGTTTATTAATATAACAAAAATTTCAATTAATGTGAGAGACAGACTACTGGAAATGACTATTCTAAAAAATGTAAATACAAGTAAACATACTGAAATGTGTGCGCACGAGTTTTTAAACCAGAAGATTTCTGCACTAACACACATTTATATTAATGACACATAAAAAAAATAAAAACTTTATTACAAAAATAAGTTACACTTGCCTCCAGCTTACAGTATAAAACAATTTTATTTGCAGGAATGCAAAATGATTGTTTGCAATGAGCAATTTAACATATGACATCTATTTTTTTTAAATTTTTTCATTTACTGGGGAACTGGTGTGTATAAAACCTTAATTCGGTGTCTCAGATCTTATTGTGGTGCCTACAGGTAAGTAACAACTGCAGTATCCCTTTGGGGAAGGTGTAACAAAAGCTCTTTCTGTGAAGTCCGTATTAGATCATAGTGTATCTTACCTATGCATAGTTGGACTTGATAGAACTTTTTGGAAGAGTGATTCAATAGAGGATGCTTCACCACTTAACACTCACTGTCATCAAGGTGCTTTAGAAAATTAAAACATAGCACAAATGATTGTATTCTACTCTACAGATTATCATGATCTGCATAAAGAGAAAATGGAAAGCTGATCTGCTTGTTTTTACAGCAATCAGCAGTAAGAAATGCACTAATGAGAAAACATACCTTTACCTAAAAAGCTAAACTACAGCCATATACTATTTTCTATGATTTATGAAAAACTTCAAAATATCCAAATGTCAGGCTTCACTGTACAGCTGTCAGTTTTAGTCTGACCTTTTATAAAGGGACACTGCAGTATTTAGTACAAGTTGCTGATGCACTTTTTTTTAACATTTGATGTTTTACAAAAAGTAACATCTTGCTAAACTATGATACATCCAAATAACTACAATATCTGAAGAAGCAAGGCTGCTTTTTCAGCCACAAAATACGACAAAAACAAGGCCTGTTATGATGGACAGGAGGGAATCTTTTACAAAGCCTCTGAAATTAAAGGCAACTTAGAATGTTACATTTGGTATATATATTTTACCCTCTTGTCAAAATTAAA